TGTACATAGGGTCGCTATGAGTCGCAAGCACATAACAACAACATAAAAAAGAGAAAAGAATAGCCTGTCCTAGCAACATGCTCAAAGTATGTGAAATGAAGCTTTGCCATCCTTGCTTCAAAGGAGCGCTCTGGCCGCCCTCTCTCTAGGACATATCTGTTTGTTCTTTTTTCAGTCCTCTTCTCTAACATCATAGCTCAAAGGCATCAGCTCTTCTGCCATCTTTACACACTGTGTGTAGCTCTCAGATACCTCGCAAGTGACTGAAAAGACCATTGCCTGAATCGGGGTGCACCTCAGTCCTCAAACTGACAGTACTGCTCCTCAATAATTTGGAGCAATGGTTCGAATCCACCAGATGCTCTGCCAAGGAAGGAGGGACAATCTCCTCCTGTACATGTCAGATCTGATTTGACGGTACACGCACACACACACACACACACACACACACAAAAAGCAAATGATAATTTAGGCCAATTAGTCGGTTAAAAGCAAATGATAGTTTAACCTAACTAGAAAAGCGGTATGCATGAAGCAGTAGCTTGTATTAAAGCATTATCTCTACACAGTCAAACTAACAAAAGCAATTGAAAAGACAGAGAAGCAGCCTACAGGACAGTGGGTTTGTGTGAACAATGGTGGAGGAGTTTGGAAATGTGGTTAAAACTTGGTCACAACTTGAAAAAATCTAACCAACATGTAGAAAATGTTGACTTGGCATTGATTTTGTTGTATGTGTATGTGTGTGTGCACACCCATGTAGACTGCAATCAAGGTCAGGAGGGGCCTGGAACGCTGCATTTCTCACAAAGTCCCATGAAAAGAGGATGCTGAGGGTCTTGTTGCAGGATCAGGAGGTCGAGGGGAGCCATTCCTGTTCCCTTGAAGCTGAGCGCTCACCTCTGCACAGGAACCCCCCGCTGCACAGGCAGCCTCACCCCCAGCTGCCTTGGCCCTGAGTTCGGCTGGCTGATGGGGTCAGGGAAATCCTGGCTCTGGATTTGGGTCTGTTGGCCAAGGTGGGTACAAAGTGAAGACACTCACGTATTTCCGTCGGGCTTCCTGGAGTGCGTCAGACTCTTCCAGCTTCTTGGCCTCGTCTCGGAATTTTTTAATACTTTCTTTCATTTCTTTGTTTTTGGCTAACTCCTGTTTAATATTATCTACCAAGCCGGACAGGAATCCTTTTCTGTTGCCAGAAGAATAGGATTTGGACTAGAAAGGACATAAAAAGCAGAGTTAGAAAGACTGGAGAGGCAGAGGGTGGGGTTTTCATTTTTGCCTTTCCAGTGATACAGGCTTACCAATGAATAGTGGTCTTTTTACAATAACAGTAATAACAGTAAGGGGCAACTTTCAAAAATCCCCAAGTTCCTTTTCCCATAGAGGGAACACGGAGCGTAAGAAGCAGATACAGCTCAGGGGGACAATAGCCAGACATGAGAGAAGGGAGAAATACGTGGTGAGGAACCTCAAATTCCTAAAATACAAAACCCCAGACCAGTGAATCTGGAGGAGTCCACACAACCCCAGGCCTAAGACATTCTTTAAAACCCGGAACCAGAACTAGACCCTAAAATCGCCTTTTAGCTAAGTAACACACTGACTCACATAATAAAAAAGTGCCACCTGGGAGGGCTGTGCTCCTTTTAAGGAGCCATCTGTATGAGACCAAAGAACAGGATGGCAGGGGCAGGGAAACAAGATTCATGGAAACAGAGCAACCAAACAGAGGGAAAAAATGCTCACACGTTGTATAACTCTAAGCAGAGTCACAGAAGAGTGTGTGTGGAAACTGCCGAATGGGAACCTTAGTTGCTGCATAAACCTGCACTGAAAGCACAAACAAAAAACCACTGAAGAAACAAAAGAACCAGGGAGAGCTTCGAGTCCTCACACGAAATCACTCATTAACTCAGAGCCAGGTTAATGTGCAGAGGGCTCCTGTCTCACTGACGGAGCCGGAAGATCTGGGCCTCCAAACTCTAAGGCCTCTAAACAGACATTCTGGGATTCTGAGACTAGAAGAATCCCTCCCAGTCCTCCTAGAAGAACAGCTTCCTCTGTGACCTCCATCTCTGGGCCCACACACTTGGGGGCAGAGAACCCAAGCTCAAGGGTCCCAACTTGGGGAAAATACCACACACGTGGCGCAGGGCTCGGCTCTAGACATAAAAGCCAGTGCTGCACATGGCAGGACGACGGCAGCTCCAGCCAGGCAGAGGCAGGTGCTAATCTCTCCTCCACCACACGTGTAAATGGGGCTTCAGAAGATGAGAAACAGCACAAGGGGGCCAGTGGAGAGTCCTGTTGGGGAGGCGGCTGCTCCATTTCCACCCATGCACCCCAGTCAGGGGCTGCCCTGCTTAGCCAGGCTTGAGGACTGCCTGGTGCTGTGTCCCTTTGCATCAGCACTATTGTATGTTCTGAGACTGTACATTTTGAAAGTGGGAGAACTGGAGAAGTGAGGGAGGAGCCATCCCCACATGGCGGGTGGAGGACGAAGCCTGTGTGAGGCAGGAGGAGGGAAGCAGCCATCAGAGGTGAAGCTGCTAAAACAAGACTCTCAGGCACAGAAGAGAGAGGAGAGGTGGGCAGGAAGGTTTGGGGAGAAGGGGTGGAGCTTTAAGCTCCCCTCCTCAGAGTGGTGAGATACAAGCAGCCCAGGAGATCAGAGGACAAATCCTCTGGAAGATACCACGTGGAAAAAAGACTGAAAGGATGGGTGAGGTGTAACCTGAGACAGCTAAGCCTTAGGGAATGATGGGGTGACTGCTTGAACACCAAAAAGAGACCCACCTGGAGAAGATCCAGGGCAGAGGATTTCTATTCAATAAAGAGATGATTTTTCTAGCCATGAGAATCGCCACAAGGGGCTAGTTTGTGAGGGAGGAGTGTCTCATCTCTGAAGATGGCTAGCAAGAGGTGGCAGACGGCTTCCCAGGCCCCCTGGGCTTTGCAACCTAAAGGCCTGGTTATAGGTGCCAGCCATGGCCCTGCCTCTCCTGCTGACCAAGTCCAGCTTTCCCAATCCCCCTGCTGTCGTCTTGCTCTTAGCTACTCACCAAAGGCAGCTCTCCACCTGGCTGGCGTATCTGATAGGTGGAACCACGGGGCAGGGGCAGTAGGCTGTGGCTGGGGAGAAACTGGACCCCATTCCCGAGGCATCTCTGATGGAGAAAAGAGAAAAACTTGTTCAAAAAAGAAGCTGACAAGATGTAAGCACATCATGCTAACAACACAGAGACTGCCCTAGACCCATTCGGCGATTCTGATTGCATGCCTGCAGCGTGCAGAATACACGTCAATTAATTCCACTGCCTGAAGCCAGGGGAATCTGGCAGAAAGAGAAAACAGCTAGATCCTCAGCGCCAGGGCTTCTAGCTACCCTCTCACTTCTGGACTTGGGAGAAAATAGAAGGGTCCCAGGAAGCGCCAGCCTGTGTGGGAAGCAGGTTAATTAAAAAGTTATTATGAGGCGGGGAGAGAAGTACAGCAATGAATAAATGGAAATCCAAAATCTCTGTAAATGTTCATTAAAATTATTTATAAAAAAAGTTATTATGGCTCAACAGTCCCCATCAAATTGGTGATGATGAGCTCTGGGACAAGGGACGGCAAGGTGGTTCAGGGTGACTGAGGATGCTCCGAGCGCCTTCCCACGTAGGGGGCTCATTCTGCAGTACATCAGACAGCATCCTGTAGGGACTTATAGAGTCTCACTGGCTCGTATTCAGAAGCAAACTGCAAGGCCTTTCTTCTTAGTCTCTTCGTCCAGGAGAACAGCTCAAACCAGTCCATCATGGGTATATGTCTGTCGATATTTGGAATACTAGTGGCCTCGCTTCCAGCATCCTAACAATTCCCAGGCCATTAGAGTAGAACAAACGGGCAGAGGAGTCACTCTTGTTGTCGAGTACCATCGAGTAGTCGACTCTCTAGCAGGTTTTCAGAGGCAGAACATCACATGGGAGGAGACTGCCTATCTTTTTCCCATGGAGCAGTCAGTGGATTCAAACTGTGTACCTTTGGGTTGGCAGCGCAATTCCCTACCACTAAGCCACTGCGGCCTAGTGAGTAAGGAGTTTCACTGCCAACTTAAAGGCATGTGGTTCGAATCTATCGATAACAGCTCTGCACGAGAAAGATGTGCATCTTCCTCCCCTGTGATTTAGTGCGTCTGAAACTCACTGGAGGGTGAGCTACGAGTCAGTTCTGACATGATGGCACATGACAAGTGACACAGTTCTAAAGTAGCCTGCTGCCAAGCTGGAACCCACCAGTGGCTCCGAGAGAAAGACGCAGCAGTCTGCTTCTATGATGGTTACAGTGCTGTGAGCCAACTCTGCTATATCCTGTAGGAACTGATCTGAGGGCAACAGGTTTGGGTTTGCTTTAAACTGAAAAATGGCAGACTCATCTTCAAGACGGGAAGCCAGCAGCGTGCTCAGAGAAGTACTTGCTTTCAGAGGCAAACCCTGACAGCACAGCATCTCGGGATGCTCTGGAAGAAACCTGCAATACTCTGATCAAGGGCCGAGCTACAAAGATCGCAACGAGGGTCACTCCAGGCAGAGACCCGGCCAACCTCACAGGAACAATGTTTCATCTACCACCCGATGAACTTAAGCTCCACAGAACCTGTTCACGCTGCGCCATCCATCAGCTGGCACGGTGGAGCCTAGCACGCTGGCATCAATCTGACAGAACCTTACTATTCTATTTGCATATGTTGTGGGACAACAGCTAAGCATATGACCCAGTGGCTCCTCAGGAGAAAGATCTGGTGATTTGTTCCTGCAAAGGTTCCAGCTGAGGAGGCCTGAGGGGCAGCTTTCACTCTCACACAGGGGTACAGAATTAAAATGGAACCAACAACAGGCACCCAAACACAAGACCCTTCTTTTCTGTGTTCCCTACCTCCTGACTCCAGGAACCCTAAGGACTGAGTCAGATCACTATTTCCTAGGCTCCCTGGGAGAGTCACTCTTGGTGGTTTAAATACAGTGGAACCTGTGAGAGCCAGAACACAATGCAAACGGCCTTGATTTTCTAGCTCTTTCCATCTTTAACAAAGTGTAAGTCTTTTACTTTTCTACTTATTACTCATTTTGTTATTGTTAGGTGGCATCAAGTCAAGCACAACTTATAGCGACCTTTTGAACAGATTTGAACCCTGTCCTGTGCCATTCTCATCATCTCTGACACACTGGAATCCAGGCGGCAGTCACTGTATCAATCCATCGGGCTAAGGGTCTTCCACTCTTTCACCAACCTTCCACCTTTCCAAGCATGATGTCATTCTCCAAGGTGTAGCCTCTTCGAGCAACATGCCCAAAGTTTATGAGGTAAAGCTTTGTCATCTGCCTCCGAGGTGCACTGTGGCTGCATCTTCTCCAAGATATAGCTGCTTGTTCTTTTGGCAGTCTGTGGGATCTTCAGTGCGCTTCTCCAACACCACAGCTCAGAGGCATCAATTCTCCTGTCATCCTTATTCATTGTCCCTCTCTCAGATGCACAGCAAGTGACTAAAAAGAACATGAACTGAATCAAGTACACCTTAGTCCTCAAACTAACAACACTCCTCTTTAGTAATTTGGAGAGGTTCCCTGACTGCAGACTTTCCCAGTGCAATACCTCCCCTAATCTCCTGACTGCTGGTACTAACGGTGCTGAGTGTGGATCCACGTTAAGATGAATTCATTGACAGTTTCAATCTTTTCTCTTTCTATCATGATCTTGCTTATCTGTCCAGTGGTAAGGATTTCTGTTTTCTTGACCACTCATCTTAGTGGAAAATATTTAAGTCTTCATTCTCTGCCACCTTACGCAGATTCTGGTTTGACTTTATTTCTTAATGTATCCCAGAACCACTGACTTTTACGACAGTTCAAAACATAAGTGGAAGGCCTTCCACTGTGGGGGCAAAATCTGAGGTTGGATTCCCCCTTAGGCCTTGTGACCAAACAGGTAAATTGAACCTCTAAACCCTGAAGCAAAAGACAAGCTGTCAAAAAAAGCCATCAATGAAGGAGTTTGTCTTTTGCTTTTCAAGGAGAGGAGCAAACTGGGTGGGGAGAAAAGTGCAACAACGAATGAATGGAATTCCAAAATCTCTGCAGATGTTCATTGAAATTAATAATAATAATTTAATTTTTTTTTAAAAAAAAAGCCATCAGTTCTGAGTCACTGACACTTGCTTTCTCTCCACCCTTGGAAGCCTACGAGTTTTAACAACTTGTCTAGGGAGTCTAACTGCCCTGGGTGTTAGACACCCACTCATTTGCTGGGGGCTTGTGGGCAGGTTATTCAAGTGTCTGAGTTTCTGGTTTTAGGAGCCGTGAAATCGGGGCAAACAGCAGCAACACACTAGTTTTCTTTCTCCAGCGAGCTCTCCACTCCTTCCCGACTGTCCTACGGGCTCAATGGGGCAGTCTGTCTGTCCGGTGACAGATGCCTTCTGCACGTCCATGTGAGGGTTATAAAAAAACGAGGCAAGGAATGCTCGGGTAGGGGATCTAGTATGAAAACGCAAACAGTGACTGTCACTTTGCCTGTCCAACAGCTACTTGTTCTAAACAGACCACTGTCACCCCGAGCACGTGAGGTCTGAGCAGGGGAGGGACGACTCGCTCCCCGCTGGGCTGCGCGCCTCGCACTCTCACGCTCCAGGGTCTGGAGGGCTCGGTCCCCGCGATCAGGCCTCGCTCCGGGCTCCCACCCCCACCCCCGGCTGTCCCGACCTCAAGTGCCACGGCCGAGCCAGACAAGAGCTGTGAGGGCCAAGAATCCGAGCAGAAGGAGGCCGTGGTGGCCGCTGGCCCAGAGGCCACTACGTGCCCGCCCCGTCCACCCGCACACCGGCTCACCCGCGGGCAGCGGCACCAGCCTCCCCGCAGAGCCGCCGCTGCCATGTTGGTGGAACCCGTGTGACCTTCCTGTGGCGCGGCCCGATGGCGTCACAGTGGTGCCCATCCGTTGGGTATCCGGGGAAGAAAAGGCCACTAATTGGACAAGGCCCGGAAGACAGAGGTCTGTGATTGGACGAGGACGCGGGCTCGCTAGGGGGCGGGATTTGGGAAGAACACGGCTGTGACTGAATGTGGCTCGGAGGGCGGGCACTCCTGAGACACAGACCTGTGATTGGACAGAGCCACAAGAGGGCGTGATATGGGGCGTGGCCCTGTGCGAAGGGAGATTCCATTGAGAACGTGCCGAGTTCAGGGTTCTCGGAAATTCGCAGGCTGATTACTGACTGGCCGCCCGGATGGATGCGGATGCTGACCAACTGGCGGACCCTTCAGACGGAGACCACTCCGGTTCTCACTGATAGTGAACGACAGGCCGACTACTAGATACAATGGACCGTGACTGATGCGGCTGATTGACTACTGACAACAGCGATCGGCTGATTCGACTGCCGGTGACCCAATACCTTAAAGAAGAACTAATGCCGATTGCCTGCCTGCCCATCTGTGACTGCCTGGCCTGGTGACCACTGACGGACGGCGGCTGGCACGGTGGTTGGGGTCACTCCCCGCAGTGAATCGCCTCTACTTCGAGACAGAATTTGGAGCAAGAAGGCTCGCTGGACCCGCCTACTTCTGTGCACTTAAGATCCTCTCCACCCCCAGTAGAGGGGCGACCAGCTATTGCTTTCCGACCCAGGGTCAATGACACTAGGTTTGAAATTGACAAGGACTGACATTCAAGACTGTTGTGGGGGTGAACCTTGGAGACATTCTGGCCAGTGGACTGGTTTCCTAGCCTAATAGGGTGACAATGATTGACTCTGACGCTGTCTTCCAGTGACTGCCTCAAAGCCTGATGCTGCCTGCCTGCCTGCCTGCCTGCCTGCCTGCCTGCCTGCCTGCCTGCCTGCCTGGGATCTACCCGATGACCACTGATTGACAGAGAAGCCATCACCTGTCTGTCTGTCTGTCTGTCTGTCTGTCTGTCTGTGGGGGCTTACGGGTTGCTATGATGCTGATCCAGTTTCAGTAGAGCTTCCAGCCAGAAACAGCCTAGGAAGTAAGGACTGGAAATTGACTTCTAATAATTAGCCAGTGAAATCCCTATGAATTAAAACAGTCCACACTCATTATGCATGGAGTCTGGCTTAATGACAACCAATACCAATTACTTCATCTTACTTGAATCTGCAATTAATACACTTGGTACCAGCAGTCAGGAGATCAGAAAACGTATTGCACTGGGAAAGTCGGCTGTTAGAGACGTCTCTAAATTACTGAGGAAACATGATGCCTGTTTGAGGACTAAGTTGTGCCTGCCTCAGGCCGTGGCCTTTTCAATCACTTGCTGTGCATCTGAGGGCTGAACAATAAATAATGATAAAGAATAGAAGAAAACTTAATACCTTTGAGTTGTGATGTCAAAAAGAGGACTGACTATCCCATGGACTGCTAAAAGAACAAACAAAAAGACCTTGGAAAAGGCGAAGCCCTAGTGCCTCTTGGAGGCAATGATGACAAAGCTTCATCTTACATACTTTGGGCATGTTACTAGAAGAGATTAGTCCTTGGAGAGGGACATCATGCTTGGAAAAATAGGGGGATGGGGAAGGAGAGGAAGACCCTCAACCAGGTAGATTGACACTGTGACAGCAGCAATGGACTAGCATGTGTCAGAGAGTGTGAGGATAGACAGGGTTTAGATCTGTTGTTCACAGGGTCGCTATGAGTCATTCTTGACTTGATGGCACCTAAAAACACCACCACCAATAACAAACTGACAATGGCTAACAGGCTGACTGCCTGATTCTGACCCTGCATTTCCTTTGACTGACTGACTGGGCAGATCCTGAGTGACATCAACGAAAAGTTTTAGCTGACTCCAGACTGAAGTGACTGAATCTGACTGTCCAACAGACCAGTTGTAAACATGTTTGTCTAATTGGCTAAAAGACTGGACACAACCACCTCCAGCTGACTCTAGCACTCATTGGCTGATTGACTGTCAGCTATAGTTTCTGCTACATGTTATTGTTGTGTACCGTAGAGTTGGACCCGACCCATAGCTGACCCTCTGGCGGATTTTCAGAGGCAGTAAACTCACAGGAGGAGATTGCTCATTCTTGTCCCCCCGTGGAGCAGCTAGTGGCTTTGAAGCACATGGCTACGGGATTGCAGTGCAGCTTTTGGCCACTAAGCCACCAGAGCTCCTTATGAGTGTAGGACAGCGGGACAATGAATAAAGAAGAGTGGAAAGAGTTGATCCTTTTGGGGTTAAGCTGCAGCGCAAGAGCATGAGTTCACACATAACAGGCCCCAGCCTGCTGCCACTGGCCCTTTTAACCGCGAGCGACAGAGCAGCAGACGAGGCCTCTGCCGGGGTTCGCATGTTTGGTCTCAAGTCTTAGGATGATCCCTTGGGAAACGGATAGGAGGCTCCTCGACTAATTGTGTGTCTCGTGTGTGCTGCTGACTAGTTGGACTAGTGTGTGCTGCAACTTAACCAGTCCTTGGCTGTCATCCAATAAACTTTAGGTGTTATTGAAAAAAGAAAAAAAAAAAAAGAATTGATCCCTTTTTGTGGCTTTAGAAGGAGTGTTAAATATCCCATAGACAGCTGGAAGAACAAGCAAATCTGCCTTGGGATAAATACAACCAGGATGCTCCTCTTAGAGACAAGGATGGTGAGACTCTGTCTCATTTAATCTGAGCACATCATGCCGGGGAAAGTAGAGGGCTAGCAGAAGAGAGGAAGACCCTCAGCAAGATAGATTTACACAATCTACCACAGGATGGGTGGTGAAGAGATTGAGATTGTTCACAGCTTCAGTTTGCTCGGCTCCACGGTCAACACTCTTGGCACCAGCAGCCAGGAAGTAAAAAAATGTATTGTGATGGGAAAGTCTGTGGTTAGGGACCTCTCTAAAGTACTCAAGAGCAACAGTGTCTCTTTGGAGACTAAGGTGCGCCTGATACAGGCCATGGTCTTTGCAATCACTTGTTATGCATCAGAGAGCTGGACAATGACTAGGGAAGATAGAAGGAGAATGGACGCCTTTGAGCTGTGGTGCTGGAGAAGAGTATTGAGAATACCATGGACTGCCAAGAAAACAAACAGATTCATCCTAGAGAGGGTTAAACCAGGCTACTCCTTGGAGGCAAGGATTCTGGGGCTTTTTGTCTGACATAATTTGGACATGTTGTAAGGAGAGACAGGTCCTTGGAGAGGGACATCATGCTTGGTAGGGTAGAGGGACAGTGCAGGAGGGGAAGACCCTCTATGAGGTGGATTGATTCAGTGACTGGGGTAATCGGGATGAGTGTGTCAGAGGCAATGCGATTGGCACAGGATAGAGCAGGGTTTAGGACTGTTGTACATAGGGTCGCTATGAGTCACAAATGACTCGACGGCACATAACAACAACAACCACAATGACCAAGGTCAGTGTCAGTACCCCCCCCACTTTGCGTGTGTGTCTTGTCCTGTCATGTCCCCCATACCACCAGCATCCCCTGTCACCCACCTGCCTACAACCTCCATTATGCTGATGACACAACGTTACTTGCGGAAAATGAGGAGGACCTAAAATGTTTGCTGTAGACAGTCAAAGACTGTAGTTTTCAATATAGATTAAAGCTTGACATCAAGAAGACAAAGATTCTCACCAGTGTGCCAATTGGCAGCATCATGATAGATGGAAAAGAGATCAGGGTTGTTAACAATTTCAGAATGCTTGGCTCCACAGTCAATACTCTTGGCACCAGCAGTTGGGAAGTCAAAAGACCAATTAGGAAAATCTGCTGTCAGGGACATCTCCAAAGTGCTAAGAGCAATGATGTTAGTCTAGAGACTGAGGTGCACCTAATTCATGCCATGGTCATTACAATTATTTTCTATGCATCAGACAGCTGAACAATGACTAAAGAACAGAAAAAGAATCAATACTTTTGAGTTGTGGTGCTGAAGAAGAGTCTGGAACATATCATGGACCACCAAGGAAACAAATAGGTCTATCTTGGAGAGAATGAAACCAAGTTTCTCCTTGGAGGCTAGGACTTTGGAGCTCCATCTCACCTGCCTTGAGCACATGGCCATGAGGGACCAGTCCTTGGATGGATATCATGCATGGAAGGCTGGAGGGACAGTGTAGGAGAGGAAGACTTTGAATGAGATAGATTGACTCGGAGACTGTGATAATGGAGGTAGGTGTGTCAGAGTCAGTGAGGCTGGCACAAGATAGGGCAGGGTTCAGAACTCTTGTACACAGGGGCTCTATGAATCTTAGATGGCTCAACTGCACAGAGCAACCACCACAATGGACTTGAGCATGAAGGAGATTGTGGAGATGGCACAAGTTGGGGTAAGGTTTGACCCACTATTCATAGGGCCACTGTGGCACAAGAGTTTCTTTTTTCACCCATTTATTTTTTACTATTAATTTTAATGCAAGTTTACAGAGACTTAGGGTTTCCAGTCATTCATTGTTGCACTTTTCTCACTGCCCACTCCCTCCTCCCCAATTCACTCTTCTGCCTGAAAAGTAAAATTCTTTTATTATTATACAATTTCTCTCCCCAAGTTCACTCCACTGTGCAGCCTTCATTCTGGACTCCTGTAATGACAATAATACCCAATCATCTATCCTTTTTAAACACTTGTCTCCCTCATCTGTTTCAGTACAGTATACATCATTCCTCCCTTCCTTCTCTATCTTCCCTCAACCCCGATGTCAGTCAGTTTTACAACAGTGGCCCTATGCAATATTTGTTCTTTTGTGACTGAGATAGTTCACTCAGCATAATGTCCTCCAGGTTCATTCATTTTGCATATTATTTCATGAGTTCCTTGTTTTCAATGCTGCGTAATATTCCATTGTGTGAATATGCCAGAGCTTCTCTCTATCCATTCATTTGTTGATGGGCACTTGGGTTGTTTCCAGCTCTTTGCTATTGTGAACAGAGCCGCAATAAACATGGGTGTGCAT